ACATAATCCATGCAAGTATCATTATAATTATGCATGTTATCACATAATTCATATAATAAACACATAAGGTTACCTTGACCCATGTTTGTAGAATCATGGTTATAACATTAATGATTCTCACATAATTGATTTGGGGATGGTTGATTTGACTTCCTAGCACTACACTCCCCACCCATCTTGATTGCATTTGATAGGTTTAATAATCCATTCTATGCACCGCCCCCTTTTCCTATTTATATACATACATCACACATGATCATTGGGGAACAGAATGCTATTATGCCCATGCCACCAACAACCAGCTCCTACACAACACCACTTGTGAGCACTACCCATGATGCCATCCCCGAATTTTAGCCCACTTCAGCCCCTTTTCCTGATATGTCCGGACACAAATCCATTGAGGATAGCAATCGCACTCTAGTGACTCTAACATAGTTCCTATTGAGAGATTCTACAAAAGGAGAAGGGCCGAGTCTGAAGACTCTAATTGGGCACCCGATAAGGATATACCACTGTCCCAACTTAGGAGGTCCACAAGGCAGCATGTAGCATCCAGGCCAGCCAGAAAAAGTGCCCAAACTAGAAGATCAGACAGCCTTAGTGAGAGTGGCCGGAAACCAAGGAATTTCCATAAATTAAAGACCTTTTTGGGGTTAGGAGAGAGAGGGTTTGATAGGAGTTTACTTGAGACATAACCATTCATCAATGACATTATCACCCAAAGGGGTTGGGAGGCTTTCACAGCATTGAGAGAGCCTTACTTCCTCAAGTGGGTACAAGAGTTCTATGCCTCAGTCTCATCTACTCGCACTACCTCGGTTCATATCTGAGGTAAAAAGATCTCTTACTCTTCACACTATCAACTCTTTCTATGATTTGATTGCACCTCCAGTTTGTGAGTATCGCAGGTTGTTACATGATCATACCGAGGAAGATTTGCAGCTCATACTTAGTATCATGGCAGAAGAAGTAGCAAGTTGGAAGTCACCCCGAAAACGCATCCCATGTAAATTCCAAACCAATCTTTTGAAAAAGAATGCGGCTGTTTGGAACCATTTTTTGAGATACTCTTTTCACCCAACCACACACGATTCAAGCATCTCACTAGACCGCATGATCTTACTGTATTGTATTCTTGCAGGCAAGGCAATTGATGTAGGGGCAGTCATTTCTGATGCCATTCATGGATGCACACACAAACCACCGACCGACTTTACTTCCCGGTGTTGATACATGGTTTTATGAAGAAGGTGAAAGTACATGTACCACCCGACGAGGCATTAACAACAAATGTACTACCCATTAAGTGCAAAACGGTCGGTAAAATTCCCAAGACATCTAGAACTGATTTCAGACAGCCCCCTATTGTACCAGACAGCAGCCACATGGATAAGGAATTGATGCTTTAAGGAAAAATATTGAAGGAACAAGTCACCACTTTGGAGACCACTTTAAAGAAGGCCACTCGGGCACACCAAATAGCAGTGGAGCAAGCATTGAAAGCACACAAGGACAAGCTTTTTGCAAGGATGGAGGAAAGAGATGCGCATCTAATGGCCGATTTGAAGATCATGATTATTGGGATGTCGCGAAGCACCAAAGACCCATCCATGGCACCTACTCCACCCGAGTAGACAGGTTTATCTATCATCCCTTTAGCTCCATTTCTTTTTCTTTTTCATGAGTCTGGGAATTGTCCGTGTCAGTTTTATTTGTCTTAGATTTTTTTTATGGATGGAAATGTATGGCCTAATCTACACTACAACCAACTTATATTTATAGCTTGAGTAATTTAAATGTGACGTGAGTTTGAGTTCTGAATAAAAAAAACCAGACAAAGGAAAAGTGAGGCTAGCCTATGGCATATAGATATGATCAGTACAAAACAACTTCCACTTTGACTTATGAAAAGCTATTTATAACAAGAAAGTTGTAGTCATAAGTGCCTGTGTCCATTTTTTTAATCTAATTTGAGTCTTTTATTTGTCTTTTTATGTTGTTTGGGGACAAAAAACAATTCTAGCTTGGGGTGTGATAAGCATCAACTTATTTGATGCTTTTACATTTTTTTCTTACTTTATTTATCCATTTTAGTTTCCTAAAATTCCACAAATTGAGTCTTTTTATTTTATTTTTTTTATTTTTTTATATTAGAGCTAAATTGTTGTGATATACATGTTTACTTCTTGGGTATGTGCATATTTTTGGGAAAAAATCATGTTAATAGGTGTTCTGGCTGAAGCATGCTACAACATGTGTTGCCGGACGATTCCAGGGGCGTTTTTTATAATAGTACAGATGATATTTTGATGTCTAATACTTTTTTTTGACAGCCCATCTTCTGCAGTTTTAAAGATCTCATGGTACATGGTGAACATTTTTTCTTTGACTATCTTTTGGATGAACAATGCTTTACCTTTTGGACAATGTAAATAGTTAGATATTAGCTTTATTTTTGGGTCATTGTCCTCCTTTCTCCTACTATATAAAGGAGGGATGCTTGGCATTTTAAAGTAAGTAGTTTTGCAATCAATTTTAGATGCAATTTGAAAGTTCACTTGGGTATGAAAGTATAGTTTGAAAGTATCTTTAAATTCTCTTTACATTCAAGTCTTCTTTATAATTCTTTTTAACATTTATTTCTTCTACTTCTTTTTCTTTTCTTGTGTTTTACTTATTATGCTTTATTATTTATGCAATTAATTTTATTATTTCACGTATGGTAGGCTAAAAATATAGCTTGGAAGTTGGGCGATGTTAAGGGAAATACCGATTCCCTTTGTAGAAAAATAAATAATAAATCTTTTCAACTACATCATTCAAGTTTATATTGTAAAAAATCATCCATGGACAAGTTGATCACTTGTTTAAAGTTGTTAAAGTGTGTTGGATTTAGAGATAAACAACAAGCATACGTCAACTTAAACAATATGGAAGTAGGCTCGAGAGAGCTACTTAGAATCGAGGAGACTCGTTTTCACTCCATTTAGCTTATATAAGGAATTGTTTGAGCCAAAGTCGAGACTTCACCCTTGCATAGAGATATGAAGGCTTAACCTATGACTGTGCGACATTCTGCATCTCGAGAGAGTACCTTAAAGAGGCTATTAGTTGTAAAGATAAGTTGTTTATAAAGCATGCTATAGAACCATATTGTAGCATGTTGTCTACTAAAAAAATTGGTTTTATATCTTAACAAATCCCTACACCTTAAGCTCACTTTTATTTATTGTTCACAACAGTAGTTTGAACCAACGCACCACAAATATTTCTTCAAACTCACCATCTGAAATCATATCTTTATTTAGACTTTTAAATAAACTTTTATTTCTTTTCTCCGTAGACGATATTCGGTATTTTTACCACTTTATTACTTGTAAAAGACGATAGTGGATTGATAAGTGTATACTTGCTCTAATCTCCATTTACTAACAATCAGAGAGATTGATTAATATAATTCTCGTAACAGTGGTGATGGAGGAAATTGCACACTAATTACTGCAGGAGTACTTACGGGGTAAAAGATCGGATTTCCTATATGAGGAGTGGTCCAGGGAGATACATGGGATTTAAAGGAGGCCTTGCTGTCGATCTCAAATTAAAGATCTTCTATTGAGCCTTGCGATTTTGTTCGTCCAACAGATCGATACGCCGACGAGCAGCTTCCAACTCCACTCTTATTTTAGCCAAGAATTATGATTTGCTCTGTTATTGGCCATGTTCTTGAAAGTCACAAAACTTGACGAAAATCGTTAGAATGATGGACATTTCTCGAAGAATATATCTAGTTGGGGCCATGGATGGCGCTAAACTATTTATGCCAAAAATTACTTTGTAAAAATAACAACTAAAAATAGTATTCTTCGATTAACACATGTCAATCATAGAAAATTAAATAAAACACAGGAATATGGTAGCTTCGGGAATGCTTCAAGTCAACTTCGCTTGTATAATCTGGGGTGAGCTTCTTTTATATAGGAGTTGTCTTCATAAATATGTCATTATGAGCCTTGATATTAACAATGGTCTCTATCTTTAATGGTCTTGAATGCTTGCCTTCGGTTATGTCTGTTATCATTAAATACAAGAAGACCTGCATTAAACATTATAGAACATTGTTTTTCGAGAGTTAGCGACGATGACAATAAGAAACATTTGACCGTCGTTGGTTACTGGAGACCAACAATATGAGTACTTTTAGTAGTTTAAGAATGTTGTACGATTGTCATCAATAATGGTGACAAGTAGTCTAAAGGTATTTGGTTGCAAGTTTCTTACGTGAGTAATGACTTTGACATTTTTTACCCAAACAGAACCCACAACCTCTGTGGTCACAGGATGGGTAATGATCTTCATATCATCAGCATTCTTGCTGAGAAGCAACCCTTGGCTGTGATTTGGCAATGTTAGTAGAGGGAATACCGGTGGTGAACAGGGCAGAGTGAGTATCGGGAGAGATCGAGGCCTGCTTGGCTTTACGAGTCCCTTCAAGGGTTAGCATGCTCTTGGCACGATAGAACAAAGCAAGTGCGTCAAATTGTTGAATGATGGTTGCAACCCTGTCATAGGCTTTGGAGAAACCAAAGATGAGTTGAAGTACTAGTCTTTGGTTGGTGACTCGAGCTCCAACATTGGCAAGTTGATCTGAAAGCATTTTTAGGTGTTGACAGTATGCATAGATGGTAAGGAAGTCAGTTTGATGGGTATGGGAGAACTGATGTTTGAGGTGAACAACCCTCTTGTCTTGAAAAGTTTCTTTCAAGTGATCCCAGGTCATCTGTGCAGTTGCACCGAGTTCAAGAATTGTGTGTAGAAGATAACTCGATATCATTCCCTAGATCCATTGGAGAATGATGGCATCTAACTGAAGCCATAAGCTTTCACCAACAGAAGCATGACGAGGAGGAACTATTGGATCGATATGCTAAAACAACCAAAGTTTTTTGATAAACTGAGAATTCACACTGTGGAAAGTGTGTACAATTTACATATTTATAAACACCGAAAAGGTGCCATCGAACCATCACGCCCTTTCGTGAACAGTCGCACCTCTTCGTGGATAACTACCAATAACTACCTAATAACTACCTATATATATATACATACATACATACATACTATCTAATCGAGATTAATCTAACATTCACCCCCTTAATCTCGATTGTGTTGAATAAGATTTTTAACTCCAAGTAGTTGTCTCATAGTGGTGAACCTTATTCTTGGTAGTGCCTTTGTCAGAATGTCAGCTCGTAGTAGTTCTCCAGTGATGTGTTCAACTGTCAAATCTTCTTTCTCCATGCATTCTCGTATGAAGTGATACTTAGTATCAATGTGTTTTCTTTGTCCACTAAATACTGGATTCTTCATTAGTGATATTGCTGACTTGTTATCCACATAGATAGTAACCTTTTCTTCCTTAGTATCAGTGATTTTGTTGAGTACTCTCTTTAACCAGAGAGCTTGTGTTGCTGCTGCTGTTGCCACAATAAACTCTGATTCACATGAGGATAAAGCTATTGTTTCTTGTTTCTGAGTACTCCAACTGATAGGTGAATTTCCAAAGTAGAAAATTATACCAGTTGTTCCTTTACCTTCTTGTGTGTTAACACTGTAACTGTTGTCGCTGTATCCTTGTATCTTGTTTCCTTCTTCATGCCCATAAGTTATACCATAGTCCTTAGTTCCTTTGATATAACACATCACTTGTTTGATTGCTTTCATATGCTGCTCCTGTGGGTCTTGCATAAAACGACTAAGTAATCCAACTGGAAAACTTAGATCCGGTCTTGTATGTAGTAAGTATCGTAAACATCCAATTAGGCTTCGATATTTGGTGGCGTCTACGAATCTTGCTTTGGTTACTTTTGTGAGTTTAAGACCTGGTTCTATAGGTATTTTTGCTTCATTGCAGTCTAAGATCCACGTGTCACTGAGTATCTTGTTTGCGTAGCCAGTTTGCTTTATTGAGATTTCACCCCCGTTCTTTGTAACCTCAATGCCAAGGTAATAAGCAAGTAATCCAAGATCACTCATTTCGATCTTCTCTTTCATCTGATCCTTGAATGTTTCTATCTCTCTCTTTGATGATCCAGTAACTATTAAGTCATCAACATATACTCCAATCAATAATGTTGATGCCTTACTTGTCTTTGTATAGACTGCTTGCTCCAAAGTACATTTCTTGAATCCAAGTGTCTTCAAAGTGTTATCTAACTTGGTGTACCATGCTCGTGGAGCTTGTCTTAGCCCATAAAGTGCTTTCATGAGCCTGTAGACTTTTCCTTTGTCTCTTTCTATAAATCCTTTAGGTTGTGAGACATAAACTTCTTCCTTTAGTTCGCCTTGCAGAAATGTTGATTTTACATCTAGATGATGTACTTCCCATTTGTTGTATGCTGCCAGAGCCAATATCAATCATATTGTCTCGATTCGTGCTACTGGTGCAAAGACTTCATCAAAGTCTGTTCCATGTTCTTGAATATATCCTTTGGCCACTTGTCGTGCCTTATGCTTTAATATTCTTCCTTCAGCATCCCTCTTTGTCTTGAATACCCATTTCAGACCAATTGCCTTATGATCTTTTGGTATGGTAGTTAGCATCCAAGTATTGTTCTTGTTGATAGAATCAATTTCTGCTTTCATAGCTTCAATCCATTTGTCGTCTTTAGCCGCTTCCTTGAAGTTTCTTGGCTCTTCTTCTACTAGTAATAACTCCTCTGTCTTGGCGTATATATCACTTAAGAGCCTGTAATCTCTTACAGGTGTATGATCAATTCTTGAATCGGTTGTAGAAGGTGTCAATTTCTGAATCTGGTGAGTGGATGGTGGATGTTGTGGGCTATATTCATGAGTGGACGTTTGGGAATTTGGTGTAGTAGGAACTTCTTCATCTGAATTATTGTTACCATGTCTAACATTATTCTCGAAATCTTCAATTTCATTCGAGATATACTGAGTACCAGGTGTTTCATTATTCCCTATAATGAAATCATTCCATCCCGGTTTGTCTAGGTCAAAATCTTTAGTAAAGTCCTCCCAATTCCATGTCCCGTCTTCTTTGAATTTTACGTCCCTACTGACGCAAATTCTATTCTTTATTGGATCAAATAAGCGATATGCTTTTGATCCTGGCTCACTGCCTAAGTATACCATTCGTATACTTCTATCATTTAATTTAGTCAAGTGTTGTGAAGGTACCTTTGCATATGCGATGCAGCCAAAAATCCTTAGATGATGTAGACTTGGCTTCCTTCCTTTCAATGCTTYGTATGGAGTAATGTCATCAAGTGACTTTGTTGGCGTGCAATTTAATATTAGTATGGCATGTCTAACTGCTTCTGMCCAAAAKTTCTGTGGCAAGTTCGTTGCTTTCATCATGCATCTTGTTACTGAAAGAATTGTCCTATTCTTTCGTTCAACTACTCCGTTTTGTTAAGGTGAGTATGGTGCAGTCAATTACCTTGAGATTCCATTATCTTTGCAATATTGCAGGAATTCATTTGAAGTGAATTCCTCTCCTCTGTCTGTTCTGAACATCTTCAACTTGAGTCCAAGTTCGCTTTTCCACTTTTGGTTTAAATTCTTTGAAGATCCCAAAAGCTTGATCTTTTGAATCTGAAAAGTATTCCCACATATATCTTGAGTAGTCATCAATTAGTTGGAATATGTACCTTTTGCCGGTTGGTGTAGGTGGTGATATTGGACCACACAAATCTCCAAACACCAAATTCAATGGTGCCTCTGACCTTAAATTCGTATGTTGTTGAAACGGAGTTCTGCTGTGCTTTCCTATTAAGCATATGTCGCAAATGTCTGCCGTATACTTAGTGTGGGGTATTCCAAAAACTAATTTCTTTGAAACCATTTTCTTCATTGAACCAAAGTTCAGATGGCCCATTCTTGCATGCCATAACCATGCTTTGTCATGTAGGTTAGCTAACAAACAGATGGGTTTGCCAATTGTGAGACTTGCCTTATATAGTCGGTTCTTTGATCGTATGACCCTTAGTAGAATGTTGTTGCTTGAATCATATAGTAGTAACAGATCCTCTTCAATGACTACTTTGCAACCATTATATGTCAATTAACCAAGGCTTAGTATATTACTCTTAAGACTTGGAATGTAATATATCTGTGACACAACCCGTTGTTCTTTATTTTTGCATTCCAACAGTATGGAACCTTTTCCTTTGATCTCTACGTATGATCCATCTCCGAATCTTACGTTCCTGGTAATCTTCTCGTCAATCTYGTTGAAATGATCTTTGACTCCAGTCATATGGTTACTTGCTCCATTGTCTAAGTACCATAGGCTTTTGCCACTTGAATTTATCTTGCTTACTTCGAGATTCCTTTCATTCATGAGAACTTTCTGGTGTTCTTCAATAGTCGCCATGAGTAGTGTCGGTTCTAAATCTTCTTCAATGAGATTAGAGTGTTTCGATTCTTGATCCTTTTCTGGACATCTTGTTGCATAATGTCCATGCTTTTTGCACTTGAAGCACTATACTTTACTCTTATCAGGAGTAAATTTCTTTGTATTATTGATAGTTTCTTTCTTGAAACTATTTTATGAGGGTTCCCAATTTTTCTTTTCTGGTCTGAATCTGTTATATCCTCGGCCTCGTGATTGATTAAATCTTCCACGACCACGTCCTCTGAAAGGTTGGCCTCGGTGTTCATGTCGTGTGAACATCAACCCTTCTTGAGTGTCCACGCTTCTTTCCTTCTTGAATTTCAATATTTCTTCAAAAGTCTTCAGTCTCCCGATTGCTTCGTCTAGAGACATAGTATCTAGATCTGAGTATTGTTCAATGGACGCGACAATATGGAGAAACCGGTCGGGTACGACATTCAGTAACTTCCATACGAGAGTGGAATCTTCATATGTCTGTCCCAAGCTTGCTGCTTTATTCATAATACCCGTTAATTTTGAAGTGAATGAATCAATCGATTCATTTTCTTTCATCTGTAACATCTCAAATTCCGTCTTGAGAGTTTGTAATCTTGCCTTTTGAATACTGCTGACACCAACGTGTCTTGTTTTCAGTGCATCCCAAACTGCCTTTGCAGTTTTGTATTTTTAGATGAGAAGCAGTTGATCTTCTGGTAGCGATTGATAGAGATACGCAATATCGGTCTTATCCTTTTTCTCATCGGGTTTTGTTGATGATTGTGGTTCAATTGCTTCCCAAAGGCTATTTGCTTCCAGTATAATTTGCATTCGAATTGCCCAAGTTGTGTAATTTGTTGAATTCAACATTGGACATTGAAAATGGGTACTAAGACTCATTTCTTTGCAAATTTTAGAATTTTCTATCTTTGTTTTCTTTCCCAGTCATAATTTAGTATAAATTTTTATTAAAAATGTTTGTTATTCTTTTGTTTCCAAAAGTTTATTTGAAAGAGAAACAATAGTTTTTTATTTATTTATTTTTAATAAAAATAGGGTTTTCTTTTATTTTAGTAATAAATAAAGTAAAAATTAGGTTTTAATAAAAATAGGCTCGATGCTTCCTGCGTTCGTGCCTGACGATCGATTGAACAAACGATCTCCTATCGTTGTTCTGGATGGCGACGCTTGCTGCGTTTTTGTGCCCTAGATCGATTGAACAAAAATCGGTTTCCTACCGATTGTTCTTGTTGGCAACACTTGCTGTGTTTTCTGCCTCGATCGATTGTTCTTGTTGGCAACGCTTGCTGCGTTTTCTGCCTACAATGATGGTCGTTCTGATCGATTTAGTTCCTACGACTCGATGCCTTCTGCTCTCGAGCCTTGGATCGATGGTCTTTTTGACCGATTTGAGTCTCCGGTTGTCTTCTCTGGTTCAG